CTGCAACCAGCAGCCTCAGTATAGTGTGGAAACCACAGTATATATATATATTGACAATGATATCTATCAATTGTATCTAATGATGATATCTCACGATAATATCTAGCGATGATATCTCACGATGATATCTAGCGATGATATCTAGTGATAATATCTCATGATGCAGTGATGATATCTAACAATGATGTAAATTCACTGTTTTAAAATGTACATCTGTACAGTACTTAGAGAATCCAGGGTGTATTGCTTTCTAGTATAAATTTCTATCAGTGTATGTAAGTGGAATTAGGTAATTACAGTGAAAAACATCAAAAAAACCCATTTGACACATTTGTCACTTATGGCTGCCGTACCAACAATGTTATTTGCTTATTAGACCACTCCGTATTTAGAATATATTCGAATTTTGGCCTGTATTAAACGTAAATTATTATCGCGTGGCGAGTGGATTTATACAAAATGAGCAAATAAATATTTACGCCCTCGCCGTCTGGAACGGGATTCATTGATGTGACCCTCGTTAAAGAATGCTACTAGTGTCAATACCCTTGTGCTGTAATTTTTCAATAGGTTGGATGGTATTTACCAAAAAAAAATAAAAAAAAATAAAATAAAACGAAATAAAAAAAGCAACATTAAAATCATTTCTGGCGCCCATCTCGACTAGGGAAAATATCGTCGCTTTGCATACTGATCAGAACACCATACAATATGCCAGGGCACATATTTCAATCCCAAAAGTCAGTCGGTCCTTATTGGAGGATTTTATTCCTTGCGAAGAGTTGACTAAAAGATGCCATGTTTGTGAGCCCTGTCCATACTTCGCTCAATGCTTGCCTTCGGGCTGCGGGTGGGTGAAGGAGGCGGTGGCTAATTGGGGGATCCCCGAGTTAGAGAGATCCCCGAAAATATGGTTAAATAGAGATTGGCCATTGCTTGTACTCCCGTAACTGAGCAAGCCGAGACAAAAAACCGCTTGGCTAACAGATTCGGACCTTCTGAGGACGGCTGCATCCGTGAGCTTTCCAGCTGTGTAGATGGAAAATATCCGGTTTACTCTTTTGATTTAGTCGGAAAACATGTGAGAAAGTGTGTCCCTTCGCACTCAGTGTAATTTTGGAAATAGAGAAATTTCTCTGCTCCGCCCTGCTCAATGCCGTTGACGATTCTAGCGGCTCCGCCGTCAGGAGAGATAATACCCCGGATTTATATAGCAGGGTTTCAAGAACATGGAACTTTTCAATATGAGCTATATAACCCTAGGGAGCCTAAAGTCTCGGGGTGTTCCCTGCCTTTCCATTATAGATCTCCAGGATGTGGTCATCAATACCATGCTGTTTTCTCAATAAATTTTAGTTGTGTTCTCCATATACAACTTATTAAACTTTTGGTGAAATTGAGAGAACGGACCCACTTGAAGGAGTTATCCAACACAATCTGAATTTCCGACCTCAGTCGTACAATAATGTTCCTCCCCCTTCGACTTTAGAACGTGGTGGAAGTGGCCGGGGTAGAGATGGTTGTGGTTTCGCACAAGGGGGTGGTAGAGGTGGTAGAGGTGGTAGAGGTGTCAACAATAGCCAAGGAGCCACATCCGCCTAAAGAATTGAAGGAATGAATTTTTTTTGGAATTGAATTTTTTTTTCTTCCTCTCATGATTGAGTTAAAGACTTGTATGCATGTGCTGGTAGGAAAAGGAGGCCTGTTTGTACTGTACATGCTATATATACCTAGGTATCTTATAGGGTGTTGGGGTAGACATACTGAATCCTCTGTGTTTTCCCATATATCATGATATGATGTCCTATGATGGCATTTGCACTATGTCATGAACGTGTTTTATGATTATGACATGATGGTTACGATGCATGGTTAATGGTAAAGTTGTCAAAGCCAGAGGGCAGATGAAGAAGAGGGACTTGCAAGGTGGAGGTCCATGCTTCAACAAAGTTCCATGAGGGCTTAAAGCGTGGATATCTGCCAGTTTCATATGTTGAGCAATAACAACATATGCATCAGTCACACTGCTATGAGTTGGAATCGTCACATAGAACCCGTGAGATCCGTTTGAGGCCTGGAGGCCGAATTGATTTTTCGAATTGTTGAGACCACCACACACAGCATTGATTGCCAGGCACCGATTTTAAGAGGAAATCGGGCTGAAAACTGGCCACGGGATGTAGAATCTCAATCTCGCGAGGAGATGCATTTGAAACTGCTCTTCGCCATCAAAACACTGATAGGATCTGGGGAAATTGAACGTTGTAGGGCCTCCCGTGTGGGGAAGCCAGAGGGTTAGCCATTACGCCGAAAGAATCAACTTTTATGGAAAGATCTCCCAGTTGGGATATGTACGGGCTGGACTGTGAATTGAAAACCAAAAAAACATATGACCTGAGAATACGAGTCGGAGGTGGAGGGGCAACTCGAGCAAGATTGTAAGTTGAGACCTTATTCAAGTAACCCCTAAATGTTCAGCAAACGGAACCTGCAGTTGTTGATATGCCATGTAGGACGATGCTAGGGCGGGCTAGTGCTGCGTGATGCCTAATATGCAGTATGTGATGCTTCGCCCGGACCCTGTTGATCGTCCAAGAGGTGGTAACTCCACAAAAGATAAAAATCGATGGAAGTGTGGGAGTCAAGTGGAAACGGCGTTTGCTAACTTTTCACACGACCCTTTTACCTCCAGATTATCTCCCGTTGAAATTCCCTGCAGCTGG